TTTGGGCTTCAGAGCCCTACCACTTACATCTCGATATGCCTTTCTTTGTTTCTTTTTTATCTTACTGTTTGAGATTTCTAGAGTGCTGACCTGTATTTTTTTTACAGCGGCCAGATGCTGATGGGGCTGAGCATCGCCCCAACTCCTGTGCAGGAGGATTGGAGGCCCACCTTGCAGCACGCCATGGCGAGCAGCGGGGAAAGCAGGGTGGTGTCGGTGGGTCCTTCCCTTCCAGGGGCGGCGCCCCTTAGGTCGGTCGCCAGTACGGCGGTAGCGGCGGCGACGGTGTTGGCGGTGATCCTGGTGGTGATGGCGGAGGCCGCATCGGAGGTAACCCTTGTGGCCCTTCCTTCACCGGGTGTGGTGGAAGAGGATAGGGAGACCAGGCTCCCTGCCTCGCCGGGCGGAGGGCCGCATGGCTCACCTTCTCGGACGGAGCCGAAGGCGCTGGGGGAAGATGCGGCCGTGCTGGAGGTGGAACGTCTGCCAGAGGCCCATGAAATTGTGGTGGTGGAGATCCCTCTGACGATGAAGCAGGTGACGAGGTGGAGCTACCGACGCCGTCGCAGGAGCTGGAGGTGGTCCAGTCATTTGCTGGGCCCTCCGATGGGCTAGGGAAGACCGACCTGGTGTGGCCCTGCCCTGAGGACCCAAGGAAGGTGTGGTTCATCCTCTGGGATGAGCAGGAGTGTCAGCTCTAGGACATGCTTGGGGGGAGAGGACTTGCGGTGGAGTCCGATCTCACCCGAACCAGGGTGAAGCTGGAGGAGGCCATGGAGCGGGTCAAGTCCATCGAGCGGGTGGTCACGGTTGACTTGCCCCATGCCACAGCGGTGAGTTTTCTATGTTTGTCCTTGACTCCTGGTCTTTCGTCGGTTGCCTCAGCGTGCTTGCTTCTTGTTTTGCAGGGTCTGGAGGAGATGTCGAGCCGCAAGTCTCGTTTTTTCTCCGGATGGAGCATGCCCGAATGGAGGAGCTTGAGCGCCAGCTAGAGTCCACCCGCCGCGAGTCCCAGGACTGGGCGGCGGAGGCGACTGAGGCGCGGGCGATGGAAGTCAGATGATGTAGACAAATTTGTGTCACTATCACAGCTACTGTCACTTAGTGCCACAAGTGAATCTATGTTAGAGTATATCTCCTCTTCATCTACCCCTACAACCTCATCCTCAGAAGCACTTATTTAGTTGTTGCTCCCTCTTTTTGGTTGTCTCTCTCTCTTAGATGTGGTTGTGACTATCTCATTGTGGTTGTTTTATTCCTGGTTCCCTCGGTTATGAGTACTCTACTCCTCAAAGTGGGGTGACACCTATATGCTTTGTTGGTGAAAATTCCAATGGCCCATCAAAATCATTAATATTATGCATACAAACATGTGTACATACATTTTTTACACATATACATAGCTTGTGTGAGGTGGGTGAAACTAGGAGATGAAAACACCTCTTTTTTCATACCATGGCTACAATATCTCACAAAAAATTTATTGCATGACTATCCTCTCCTGATGGCCTAATTTTGACTAATCACAATCAGAAAGCTCAACTTCTTTTGGAATCTTTCAAAAATATAATGGGCCTTGGTGAGCTCAGTTGTATTCACTATGAACTTAGCTCCCTTCTTAGTGTCCGTAGTTTAGAACATATGGATGCAAGTTTTAGTCTAGAGGAAATTAACTCATCCATCAAATGCGTTCTCAACAGTCATGCTCCTGGTCTAGATGGGTTTAATGGAATGTTCATAAAGAAATGTTGGAACATTGTTGAAGATGACTTCCTCAGGCAATTTAGAGATTTCTGCAATACTAATCTAGACTTGAGGACCATCAACTCTTCACACATTGCCCTAATCCCAAAGAAATCGAATCCTGAATCTATAGATATTTTAGACCTATCTCCCTGTTAAACTACTCTCTGAAGTGTATCACCAAAATCCTTTAAACAAGGCTCCAAACTATTATTCCCAAGTTAACTCATACCAATCAATATGGTTTATTAAGGGTAGAACCATTCAGTATTGTCTTGCTTGGGCATTTCAATTCTTGCATCTCTGTCACCATTCTAAGAAAGAAATAGTCATTCTCAAGTTGGATTTTGAGAAAGCTTTTGACAAAGTGGAGCACCAAGCAATCTTACAGATTCTTAAACATAAAGGGTTTTCAGAGAAATGGGTTGGTTGGATCGATAATATTTTAAGCTCTGGCACCTCATCTATTTACTTAATGGCATCCCTTGAAAACCTTTCAATTGCCTCAGAGGGCTCGGGTGATCCTCTATCACCATTTCTTTTTGTCTTGGTAGCTGATCTATTGCAACCATTGTGAATAAAGCATGGCAAGCTGGAGTTTTGAAACACCCTCTAATTGAAAACTTTGGAGGAGACTACCCTATTATTCAATATGCAGATGATACGCTTCTCATCCTACCTACTGAAGCAAGAACTTTGTTTAACTTTAAATGCCTGTTAAGGATCTTTTCAGATTCAACTGTCGGGTTTCTTATGGCATTAAGTCTTTTGATTAGTTAATCTTTACTCTTATTTGTTTGCTGGTTCGTCGTCCGTTCTCGTAGCGGATACTCTAGTAAAGGGCCCTGATAAAGATAGATAACCCTGCGTGATGCTAGAGTAGTAGTCGATAGCGTAGATATGGTGTCTAGGCTAGAGGCTACCTTCGTTTGCCTCGTTCCCCATGGTTGAGGGGTAGGCGGCAGGTGGTGATAGCCCTGTCCGTCTTTTGTAATCCCCCACGTTCGGGTTCAACGTAGAGCCGTAGGTCAGAATCGACTAGCAGACCAGTTGCAACCCGGTGCCCGAAGTAACCAAGTGAAAGTAGAGTTTATCTTTCCATAAGACCCAAAAGCTATAGGAATCCATCTCTACCCTTTCCAACTTTACCTCTTGTATTGTCCTTGGACAAACTAGCTAGAAGAAATACCTCCGCTCCCTGTGGAAAATATGATACCCTGAATACTTCCGGGTGAAAGCTACAACGGTAATTCTGTGCGCTTGCGGAATCTTTCTATTTGCGTTAAGAAATACCAACACCAAGCAAGGGCAATCTTCCGGAATGGTGGAGAGAGAGTATTTTATGATGTTTTACTCTTTTCTTTTGGACCTAGTTGCCTTGTAACCTGTAAATATCTGTACTTCCATCTTATGAAAATGATAAAATAGGTAGGGAGCTTCCCTGCTGACTTGTTAAAAAAATCATTTATATGGGCATTTAGCATTAATCCTTTCTCTAAATTGATTAGAACGGTGCATCAGATTTTATCTCCATAGAACCATTGCCCAAATCATGCCACAAAGTTACGTATTGCTTAGAATCCCATAAGGAGTGGTCAACTATGAAATCAACTAACTAAAGCAATCCAATGTTATGTGTACCAATAACTTTAGTTGGTAAGATTCTACCTTGCCACCACGGCTAAGGACCATCATCTACCAAAGCTAAAAAAGGACTAAACTCTAACAACAAGGTTCAAATCCTAGTGATTTCTCTTACAAATCGCAACAATGTATAATGCGGATAATTTAGATGCAATTTAGGAGGTAACTTTATATTATTTTTCATAGTAGCAGGTAAACATATTAGATCTAGTGGCTATTATCACTAATGGTGATTAGCATCTATTGAATTCATGTCCTGCCATTTTAAATTGACACAATAATTTTTGGGGGCAGAATAAGTGAACATGGATACTTGTTTAATTGGTCAAATATGTCTGACAAATTGACTGTTCCCTACGCTCCAAATTTTAAGTCATTTTTTTGCTATGTGCCTAAACGTAGCGTACATATCGGTACATAGCAATTTCCCCCGTAATAGGGTTCGGGGTGTGTTCGGGTTTTGTTATCGGGTCTCGGGTATGGGTCCGCGAATGCTCCACCCGCCCCGTTGCCATCCTTAGCTGCAACTTGTTCTATCACAAAATAAAAATCAATTTCTATGTGTTTTGTCCGAGCATGAAAAACAGGATTAGCTGAAAGATACTTGGCGCCAATGTTATCACACCACAAACAAGTCGCGTGAGGAGGAATACCTAATTCATCAAGTAGTTTTTGTATCTACATTACCTCAGCTATAGCATTGGCAACCGATTTATGTAATGCTTTAGTACTCGACCTAGAAACAGTAGCTTGCTTCCTTGCACACCATGACACAAGATTGCAGCTGAGGAATACACAAAAACCTCCTGTAGAGCGTCTGTCATCTGGGCATCCTGCCCAATCTGCATCTAAAAAGGCACTCACAAGCATTGAGTTAGCCTTTCTAATTTTTATACCCAAGCCGATGGTTCCTTGCACATATCTCAGAATCCTCTTAACTGCTTCCCAATGAACAGTTGTAGGAGAGTGAAGGAACTGGCACACTTTGTTAACTGAGAAAGACAGATCTGGTCGAGTCAGAGTTAGGTCTGAAGAGCTCCAAATATACTCCTATACCTGGTAGAATCTTCTATTCCCAATTTTGATCCACTAGTAAAATATAATTTTTTAGTAGTACAAAGTGGTGTCTTAAATGGCTTTCATGACCGCATATTAACCTCTTTTTTCTGTGAACTTGAATGCCCAAAAAATAATGTAACTCACCGAGATCCTTGATGGCAAATTCCTTCTCTAGACCCCACAGGAGGGTATCAATTGCTTCCTGCGAGGAGCTGACCACAATGATATCATCAACATAAACAAGCATGAAGATAACATGATTTCCTTTTCTGTAGAAGAAGAGACATGTATCGGCCTTGGAGGGAATAAAACCAAGGCTTTGTAGCTTACTACACAAGCGTGAGTACCAAGGCCCAGGGGCTTGTTTTAGTGCCTTGTCAAGCTTACCCGCTGCCACCCGTCGTTCGATCCAAGCACGTGTAAAGGACCCGTCGTCTCGATGGCGCGTACTTCGACACCGTCCGCCTGGTGTCCGGATACGGGTACGGCTCCGGTTACCAATTCCGACAAGAAGACGCGTAGCTTGATGCCCGCCCTTCCATGAAGGCGACGCCATGGAGATGGAGCACCGCCTGAACAGAGGCGCCTCTCCCTGCGACATCGATTACCAATCAACTCCCAATATGATGGAAGTCATTCCAAACTGGGACTGCAAGGGGACCGATGAGTTCTGCAGCCGGCTTGGTCCGTTCGTGTCCAGCAGCCGCCCTGCTACTGCCACGGAGGACATGGCGTTCACTCGTTCTGCAATCGCGGTGAGCGGCCTCCAGTGCAAGTCCATGGGCGGCAGCATCGACGGCACGGCGGCCGTGAGGGTGGCAGCCGTGTTCTGCTACGTGCCCCCGTGGGAGCATCAGTCCATGGCGGTGAAGCGGACGGGTCTGAGCAGCATGACCCTGTCCGCCGAGGGCGTGTGGATCCCGTCCACGGGGCGGACACACATGGTGGCCTGCCTCAGCGTTGGTAAGGAAGCGTGCCACTACCGTGTGACCCTCTCCGTGCAGACGATGGTGTCGATGACTCATGAGATTAATTATCATGAGATTGATTAGAATCTAATTTTGGTCCACCTGTCATACATATTCAACAGTTTAGATCTGTCATGATCGGTGGCAACTCTTAGATTTCTAGGGTTCGGCCCCTGGCCCACAACGCATCTATAAATAAGAAAGAAGCACCCCGCCGTTACCACCCATATGAATTTAATCACACAACCAATCGATTAGGCGCTGGAGGGTTTAGGAAAGTCCGTTTCCCGTCTAGGCCATTGCCAGCGGCGTCTAGAAGGGCGCTGCTACCCGGCATCTCACGTTCTTCACCAGCAGAGGGCGTACAAGTCCTCAAGCGGTGAACACATCACATCTGCTACACCTACGAACAGTGCATTGACACCATAGGCTATGGCTACGCCCAACTACAGTCTGGCATCTACTCAGTTCTTCCGCATTATGTTTATGTTGTGGTCATGTGTTAGTCTAAGTTTAAGATCCTGTTAGTCTAAGATCAGTTGTTTCAACACGTCCTCCTAGCTTGGGACCAGATCTCCGAAACAGGGTTGGAAAACTCGCATTGTCAGACGCAGCGCCACCCAGATCTAAGCTTTGTCAGCCTTGCAGCAACGTTCAGCACATGACGTTGGTTGCTCGTTTGGCCTATATGGTCCAGCCATGGATGGAGCTCGCTGTAAATGTTGAGGTGTGGCCCCAACGCGCTGCCGGCAATGGTGGCCCTAAGGCACTTATTTATTTTTTTCTCGAATACATAAAAAATTTATGTACCATTGTAATTAAGAAGAAGAGTTCAATCATTAAAATAACACGCTTTCAACGAGCGCCCTAGGAGGTCCCAAGGCACTTATTTAAAACGAAATACTCTCAAACTGTACTGCTGCTCCGAAAATATGAATTTAGCTTTCCCGCAAAAATAAAGGAATTTTGCACCACTGGAAGAGCATATTTGTTTCTAGTAAAGTCAACCACCTGTTACTGTAGGTTCTGTACAGATTTATATGTCTGAAATTAGTTGTCATTTTGCACAAGTTCAACGACCCATCTGGTTATAGGTGCCTGGTTTCTCGCGTCGTATCTTGATCGCTCCTTTTATTTGAGTTATATATGCTTGATCCTGGAGATTCGAAGGCACATGAGTACATGTGGGTAGGTTTCAGTTACAGGGTCAACTAGGTAGTTGGGGGTACGGTGTAGCATGAGCTGTGCTCCACCCGACAATACTAGCAGTGCCGGAGTCCCGTACTTCAGAACTCCAACGGTTTGCATGTTCGACTCCTCGTGCCTTCTTCCACTCTGAAGGAGTTAAGCAAAGGTAATCGATCAACCGTGCACGTCGTTACGCCTTCCATCTTAATTCCATCAGTAGTTTTCAGTGCAGTTCGATCAACTTTAGAATTCAGTGTCTAGATTAGTCACCGCTGTTTCGTAGCTGCAGATAGCCTATGTCCGGTTAATTAACTACCTTATTACTGAAAGCTACTGTTTCGTGCAGTCCACATCGATGGAGGCCGCCATGATCGTCGTCACCACCTTGCTGCTGAATCTTGCCTTGTTCTCGCCATGTCTCTCGATTGGGTCCATGCCCATCCATCACGACTACACCCGCTTCGCCGACGTCGAGCGGCACTGTCAGTCCGTGCTCTCATCAGCCGCGGACGCGGAGCTCAACGCTGATGCCGGCCGTGGCAGCAGACTGATGTACCAGCTATCCTTCATGAACGGCGACTGGAGCCAAGACGCCGGCCAAGCTCCCCTGCTTCCGTTCCACGGGAGCTATGCCGATCCGGCGGTGGTGGCCGGTCCTGAGCTGCTTGAAGCGGTCCCCCTGGCGTCCTTCAGGCTCACGCACATGGAGACGGTTCCACGGCGACGACGAGGTGCACGAGCCGCCTTCAACGTCAGCGGCGTCCTTAGTCTCACCATCGCCCGCAACCGCAGCTGCAGCTGGTTGCATATGGAAATGGAACCGAGTCCGTCGCCAGAGTTCGAGCTCCGGCCGGGGATCGCCAGGCTCCATCTAGTGTTCCAAGGCGTGTATACCGAGACAAGGTCGTCGCCGGGGAGCGGTGCCCGTGACGACGGCGGTGGTGAGAGGGTGCTGTGTATGGTCGGGGACTCTGTTCTCCCCGTGCGCGGAAGCAACAGCACGGACCCGTGGGACTGGGCCAAGAATGATGGCGCTGGCACCAACCTGGAGCCGCCGGTCATGTCCGACGGCAACATCCTGCTCGTGCTACGGTACCCCAAGACGCCGACGCTGACAACTCGCGCCGTGCATGGCGTGATGATGAGCACTAACTCCAAGTCTGATGGCGCGTACTTCGACACCATCCGCTTGGTGTCACAGCTTTCGGCGGGCGGGTACGGCTCCGGTTACCAATTCCGGCAAGAAGAAGACGCGGAGTCGTCTGATGTCGCATGGTGCAGCAAGGACGACTCTCCCTTCCATGAAGGCGACGCCATGGAGCAGCACCACCTGAACAGTGGCGATTCTCTCGGCGACTTCATCCACGAATCCAATTTCAACGGCCAAATGATGGAAGTCGTTCCAAACTGGAACTGCAAGGGGACTGATGAGTTCTGCAGCCAGGTCGGGCCGTTCGTGTCCAGGCCCCCTGCCACAAGCAGAGCTTTGGAGGACATGGCGTTCACTCGTCCCGCCATCGCTGTAAGCATGGGCTTCCAAAGCAAGCCGTTGGGCACCGGCAGCATGGACATGGACGGACGGGCAGCCGCGACCGCGAGGGTGGCAGCCGTGTTCCGCTACGTGCCCCCGTGGGAGCATCAGCCCACTGCGGCAAAGCGGACCGGCATGAGCAGCATGACCTTGTCGGCCGATGGCGTCTGGATCCCATCCATGGGGCGGGTTTGCATGGTGGGCTGCCTAGGCGTTGGCGTTGCCAAGGAAGCATGCCACTACCGTGTGAGTCTCTCCGTCGGGACAACGATGTCGATGACTCGCCGCGGCATCATCGCCGGACAGATCACCGCGATGGATGGGGAGAGCCACCCTCCGCTCTTGTTCCAGCAACGCGTGGACCCCCAGATTGGCGGCTACAGGCCGTTGCAGCGGCGCATGTCGTACTTTTACACCAAGGTCGAACAGGCTCGGGAGCTCCTCCTTCGACTCAGAGCGAGCCAACCAGCGGGATTTCGCAACAGCTTCGTTGCCAGGTCACTACTCAGCTATCCAAGTATCGCTCCTGGTGTTGCTCCCAATGATGACATGATGGTGAGTCTCGCCAACCTCGCCGACGACCTTGATCTTCGCTTTCAGTTCACTGTGAAGCCGCCGTTCGTGCCGCAATGGATCGAGGCGCCATTCTTTGAACTAGCAGATACTCTCTATTGGCACCATGGTTGGACGAAACAGCTATCGCCAATCCCAGACCCAGAGTATGCCGCGGATCGATCTACTCAAGAGAGTCCATGCCGTGAAGAAGCAGCACATACTGCTGAATGTGTCTGCGGAGTTCATGGCATCCAGGAAATGCCTCGGTCCAAGTCCGGTGATGTCATTGGAGGGCGTGTACAACCCAGAGGATGGGCGAATGTACCTGATCGGCTGCCAGAACGTCCACGCCCCACGGCGACTCTTGCCGATGATCAGAGACCTTGAAGACGGAATGGACTGCTCCATAGAGGTGACGGTGGAGTACCCGCCGACGACAACGCGGTGGCTCATCAGCCAGGAGGCAAAGGTCTTCATCGCCAGCACGAGAGATGACGACGACCCACTACACTTCAACAGGACCGAGCTCCACACGCTGCCCGTCATATACCGGGACCAGCGGCAGCACGAGCTGACGGAGCCGATCGTGGAGGGGCTCCTCTGCGTCACCATGCTGTCGGCCACCATTGCCGCCACCATCAGCCAGCTGCGCTACATCAAGTCCCACGCCGACGTCGCGCCGTACATCTCCCTCGCCATGCTCGGCGTCCAGGCTCTCTGCTACAGCGCCACGCTGGTCACCGATGCAAAGATGCTGCCGGCGTGGCCATCGCAGAGGTACGGACGACCCTACGCCTACCATATGGGTTGGAACATTCTGGACTGCTCCTTGAAAGCGCTCACCCTCGCGGCGCTTGCCGTCACGGCGCGGCTCGCTCAGAAGGTGTGGCGGTCGAGGGCCCGGGCGCGGGTGCGGGCGCCGCTCGAGCCGGATCGAGTACCCGACGACACCGTGGTGCTCCTGTACAGCTTCGGTGTACACTTGGGCACCCTCTTCTTCGCCGTCGCCGTGCACTGGCTGAGCACCTATGGCACGTCGGTGACGACTCTGCCGCCCAGGGTGGTCTACTATGAAGCGCAGGGGATGCCGTCGTCGCACATGCGCACAGGCGGCTCCGTCATGGAGCGGTATGTCGGTGTGGTTAAGGAGTGGTTTTTGCTCCCGCAGGTCATCGGCAATGCCGTCTGGCGCATCAACTGCAAGCCTCTCGCGGCGGGATACTACGCCGGCGTCACCGCAGCGTGGTTGCTGCCACGCATTTACGGCTACCTCCGGCCACCTGTCGTTAACATGTACCGCGACACTCACGACGATGTCATGGACTTCTACTACAAGGCCGGTACCGTGGTGATTCCAGTCGTCGGAGTCCTGTTGGCTATGGTGGTTTATGTGCAGCAGCGCTGGAACTACAAGATCATTGGTTGGGCAATGAAGACGGAGAGGAATAAGCTGCAGCACGCGTACTGAAGGATATGGTCATGCATTTGCCAATGCCACCACGCTGCTTGGGTGTTTTAAGGAACAGGCATCTGAAATCAGACTTTCGTTTAGGCGACGTGCGTGGTCATCAATCTTGCTTCAAGATTCGTGTCTATTGAGTGTGTTACTTGTTAATTATTTTTATGTTGATTTATATCAAAATTTTGTAATTGTCTTACTATAGGAAAAAATGTTTATTGTTAATTGTCTGTGTCAATTTAGATCGTAATCCACACCATTGGATCTTCATCTGAAAGCTTACCACTGTCGTCTGAATAGATCCACCCAAAAAATAACAAATCCCATATTTACCGCTATAAATGATCCATGAAATTGGAGGATTTTACGGTTCCAGGAAACTTCTACTGTTACTAGAACCGCACAGGTTCCTGGCTCCTGATCGGGTACACGTCACTATTTTATCCTGGTCCGTTCGATAGCAATTTGATGGCTCTGCCTCGTCCACGAACAGGAAAAAATATCAGCGCCGCTTCTGCTCCTCCCCCCCTCCCCCGCCCCCCACCTGCCGCAATGCTGGTGCACACCCTCGGCATGGGCAAGAGTGCGTCACTGCAGGCCATCGTGGGCGTAGGGTCCACCTTTGTATCCATGCTCACCATAGACTTGCTTTGGGTGTCGCATGCTGTTCTTGGTCCGCAGCTTGCAAATGTTGGCATCGTAGGTGAGACAGTGGCGGCATGGACAAGACAATCACCGTGAGCATGGTCGGGTCGGTGGTTGTTCCCATTGCAATGCACGAGCATCATCGTAGTTATGCAAAAAGTGGGTCCTATTCGCTTGAGCTTATTCAGAACTACTTTCAGCCATAGAACAGTGTTTTCCTCTCACAGTATTTCAACATAAGCCAAGTTTCAGCATCAACGAACAGAGTAATATATTCTGTATCACTTAGTACCGATCCTTGTGATGAAATACTTTGTTTTAGGGCAAAGTAGTATAATGTCCGCTTGTGCATCATGAATCTTGTGCGGTCTACATAGGAGAGACTAGCAGCACATTCACAGCGAAGTCCTTGTCGCAGCCCAAATGGTGGCCAACACTACGATGGTGTATAGGAACCCCGGCCCTTCACCATCAACTTTGCCAGCTCGTGCAACTCCCACCGCCTTTGCCGATATTTGACGGGCAGCATGTGTAGCTCTATTCTGTTAAAGTGTAGCGGGTCGTCATCGTCCCTAGTGCTAGCGATGAAGACCTTTGCCGGCCGGCTGATCAGCCACCGCGTTGTCGTTGGCTGGTACTCCACAATCACCTCTATGGAACGGTCCATTCCGTCTTCAAGGTCTTTGCTCATCGACAGGAGTCGCCGCCGTGGGGCATGGACGTTCCGGCAGCCGATCATGTACATTTGCCCATCCTCTGCGTTGTGCACGCCCTCCAGTTACATCACCGGACTTGGATCGAGGCAATTCCCGGATGCCATGAACTCCGTAGACACATTCAGTATCTGCTGCCTCTCCTCGCCATGGACTCTCTTCAACAGTTCGACGATCCGCGTACTCGACCGACGCTGGACTTGGGGAGAGTAGCTTCGTCCAATGAGTGTGTCGGCAGAGAGTATCTCGAGTTCTAAGAACAACCTATCGATCCATTCTGGCACAACTGGCGGCAGCTTCCCCATGCATTCATAGCGAAGATCAAGCTCATCGGCGAGGTTGGAGAGACTCCCAATGTCAACAATGGCAGCATTGGAAGCGCCAGCGTGGACACTTGGATAGCTGAGCAGTGACTTGGCAATGAAGCTGTCGCGAAATCCAGTCGCTTTGCTTGCTCCAAGGAGCTCCCGAGCCTGATCTATTGAGTTGTGATCCAAATTCAGTTATGTACAAGATAAAGGCTAATTTTGCCGGAGCGAAGCGAGGCCCGTCGCCGGGAGGCTTGGATCGTCGCCTATTAGGGTTTTCCATCTCTATATATACCTCCTATAAGCCGTCGTCTTGGGATAAGAAAAGTTGTAAATCCCCGACGTTTGTAACCTCACCCGATATAGTGAAGATTTGCTGGTTGGTGCATGTGGTTTTTCCCTTCCTCCTTGGGAGGGTTTTCCACGTTAAAATCTCATGTCCCCTGTGTTTGATCTATTGTTCTTCATCGTTTATATTGCCTATCGTTTATAACAAGTGGTACCAGAGCTTGGTTTCCCATTAGGGTTTCGCAATGGCATCAATGAAGTTTGATCTACCGCTGCTGGATTACAAGATGAGATTTGCGTTGTGGCAAGTCAAGATGCGGGCAATTCTGACACAATCTTCGGATCTTGATGAGGCGCTGGATGGTTTTGGAGGCAAAGAGCAGAAGTCATGGACCGCTGAAGAGAAGCGGAAGGATCGTAAGGCTCTATCTCTGATTCAACTTCATCTACATAATGATATTTTGCAAGAAGTGTTGCAGGAGAAAACTATCGTAGAACTTTGGCTCAAGCTAGAATCGATCTGCATATCCAAGGATCTAACTAGTAAGATGCATGTGAAGATGAAGTTGTTCACGCATAAGTTGCAAGAAGGTGGTTCAGTGATGAATCACTTATCGATCTTTAAGGAGATCGTTGCCGACCTAGTGTCGATGGAGGTAAAATATGATGATGAAGATTTAGCTCTTCTACTGTTATGTTCACTGCCTACTTCGTTTGCAAATTTCTGAGATACCATACTATTAAGCCATGATGAACTAACCCTTGTGGAAGTATATGAGGCCCTCCAAACGAGGGAGAAGATGAAAGGTATGGTTCAGTCTGATGTGTTGTCCTCCAATGGCGAAGTGTTACAGGTTAGAGGCAGGCCCGAGCAGAAAACCTACAACAACAACAATAATCGAGACAAGAGCAAGAACCGTATAGGCCGTTAGAAGTCTAGAGGCAGGGATAAGTTCTGTAGGTATTGTAAGAAAGATACTCATGTCATTAAAGATTGTTGGAAGCTGTAGAATAAGGAGAAAAGAAATGGTACGTATCAACCAAAAAATAAATCCGATGGTGATGGTAAGGCCTCTGTTGTCTCCGCTGCTGATGGTTCTAATTTAGGAGATGTTCTTGTTGTTTTTGCTGGTTGTGTTGCTAGTCATGATGAATGGATAGTTGATTCTGCATGCTCATTTCATATATGCTCTAACAGAGATTGGTTCAGTTCTTATGAGTCTGTGTAGAGTGGAGATGTCGTGCGTATGGGAGATAACAACCCACGTGAGATCGTGGGCATTGGCTCCGTTCAGATCTAGATGCATGATGGCATGATACGCACACTGAAAGATGTGAGACATATACCAGAGATGGCCAGAAATCTCATCTCCCTCAGCACACTTGATGCCGAGGGATACAAACACTCCGGTTCAGGTGGAGTGTGTAAGGTATCAAAAGGCTCTCTCATTTATATGATAGGTGATATGAATTCTACAAAGTTATATGTTCTTAGAGGGAGTACTTTACATGGTCCCATCACTGCTGCTACTGTTTCTAATGATGAACCAAGTAAAACTAATCTCTGGCATATGCGTCTTGGGCATATGAGTGAACTTGGTATGGCAGAATTGATCAGGAGAGACCTGCTGGATGGCTGCACTATAGGTAAGATGAAGTTCTGTGAGCACTGTGTTTTTGGTAAGCACAAGAGGGTAAAATTCAATGCATCTGTTCACATCACCAAAGGTATACTTGATTATGTACATGCTGATTTGTGGGGGCCATCTCGTAAGCCCTCTTATGGTGGTGCTCGTTACATGCTTACCATTATTGATGATTACTCTAGAAAAGTGTGGCCTTATTTTCTGAAAAATAAAGATGATACTTTTGCTGCTTTTAAAGAGTGGAAAGTTATGATAGAAAGGCAAACTAAAAGGAAGGTAAAATTGCTTCGTACTGACAATGGCGGTGAATTTTGTTCGGATGCTTTTAATGATTACTGCAGGGAAGAAGGCATTGTCAGGCACCACACCATCCCATACACTCCTCAGCAAAATGGTGTGGCTGAGCGCATGAACCGAACCATCATCTCGAAGGCCATTGCATGTTGTCCAATGCTCGTATGGACAGGCATTTTTGGGCTGAGGCTGCTAACACCGCCTATTACTTGATCAACCAGTCACCTTCTATCCCACTTAGTAAGAAAACTCTCATTGAGGTATGGTCTGGTATGCCTGCTGATTATTCACAGTTGAGAGTTTTCGGTTGCACTGCTTATGCTCATGTTGATAATGGAAAGCTAGAACCTAGAGCCATTAAGTGTCTATTTCTTGGTTATGATTCTGGAGTTAAAGGATATAAGTTATAGAATCCTAAAACTAAAAAGACTTTCATAAGCAGGAGCATTGTTTTCAATGAATCTTTTATGTTTAATGACAGCTTGTCTATAGATGTTTCTCCAGTTGATTCTGATGAGGAGCAGCAACATGTTAGCGTGCAGGTGGAGCACGTAGATGATCAGGAAACTAAAATTGTTGATAATAACATTCATGATATTGTTCAACACTCACCCCCTGTTTTGCAGCCTCAAAATCAGTCTATTGCAGATCACAGAACAAAGAGGAATTGTGGTCCTCGTCCATGCTTAATTAAGGAATGTGATATGGTTCATTATGCTTTTAGTTGTGCTAAACAGGTGGAGAACATTCATGAGCCAGCTACATACACTGAAGCTGTTGTTTTTGGTGACCACGAGAAGTGGATTTCCGCTATGCAAGAGGAGATGCAGTCACTTGAGAAAAATGGCACATCGGATGTTGTGCACTTGCCTAAACAAAAGAAGGCCATTCGTTGCAAATGGATCTTCAAGAGAAAGGTGGGTTTGTCTCCTAGTGAGTCTCCAAGATTTAAGGCAAGGTTAATAGCAAAAGGCTTCAGTCAGATTCCTGGTGTTGATTATAATGATGTGTTCTCTCCAGTTGTAAAGCATAGTTCAATTTGTACATTTTTTGGTATTATTGCTATGCGAGATCTTGAGCTTGAGCAGTTAGATGTAAAGACTGCATTTCTACAT